TTCAAGGGTATCATTCATCACAGTAAGGAAGTCCTGGCAGCAAGAGCTTGAAGCAGCTCATGTTACGTGTGTCAGGGTTCTACATGTATTGTGTGTGGGATCTGTCTGTGTGTGTGTCTATGTTGTGTATGTCAGGGTTCTATCTATGTATTCCTTGTGTCCATATCCACATGTCTCAGGCTCCACACTCATCAGCCTACCCCAGTGGACATCCATGCTGCCCCTGTGAGCAGACAGACAGACCCAAGCACTGGATGTGACCAAACAGCCAGTATCTGCAACAACAGCCTGGGCCCTGAAGAACCTGACAGAGCTACCTCATCAGTCCTGACATGCCAGTCAAAGCCTCCTGCCCTATCCCCTGGAATAAAGTCTCACATTCAGGGACCACTCCTTTGAAGTGCAGATGGTGCGGAGATGATATAATACATCGGATGTCTGACTTTCTGGATAAGGTGGTGCAGCACCCACCCAAGAGCCAGGTTTGCAGTCCGCCCAGGCTTACGGAAGCTGAAGGGGCAGCCACAGGTACGAGAATGAGAAAGATGAGTGAGAATGAGACACGAAGGTCTAGGTGATGGTCCTTCCTCAGAGCTTCCCAATAGACAGCATCAGAGCTTGCTCCTTTGGATATGGCTCCCTAAACTTCAGGGCCCAACACTCTTGACGGAGGCTGTGGATGATGCTCTGTCTCTCTCCTGTCTTTGCATCCTCTGACAGGAACAAGGGCAGAGAAGTAACCTGGCAGCCATGGTGCTAATAGTATCAAAGCCGGCAATCTACGATGTGGGGGATATGATTCTCATTCCCCCTTTATAGTCCCAGAAGCCCCCATCTGGAGATAGTGATGCCTAGGACCAATTATTCCTCTCTATCATTCTGGGCTTGGCCAGTCTCATGTGTCCAATCAGCTCTGATGGATGGACAGACAGATAGTAGATAGAGGGAGCGAGCAAGAGGAAGGCAGAGCAGAACCCTCTTCCTGTGTTGCTCAGCAGATACGGCTCCTCCATCCGTGCCCTTCAGTCCTTCAAGAAAGCTTTGCTTTGGACACTGGCATAACCATTTGAGTGGTTGTTGTTAATATGTGCAATATTCTGATGCTGAGAATCTACTGTGCACCTACTGGTTGTCTTAGTTAGGGTTTCAATTGCTTGGAGACAAGGTGAAGGTAGGAACAGAGATACTGTCTTAGAACCCACAGTGATGGACAGCAGAGGTCCAGACTCTATCGTGCCCAAGTGGAACAGCATCTGCTCTAGACTTGATAACCTTCTGTATGTCCCCTTCTGGGGACACAGCAGCATTTTTGTAACAATGACAACACCAGAGCCCGGGGCTGTGTCAACTTCTCCATCTCAGTGTAATCACATCTCAGTGTAATCTAGCATCTCTAAGAAGCCTAATACAGACAAGTCTTCTGAGCCCCGAGAGCTGGCCACAGTGTTTAGCCATCCTCGTCACCTTCTTCCTGCATGAATGAACTGTCCCCCTCAAGAAAGAAACCAATGCTTTTGCAGACATTAAAAGACCTACAACACCACCCCAATTGCAGTCATACTTATTTTAAGTGTGTGTGTGTGTGTGTGTGTGTGTGTGTGTGTGTGTGTGTGTGTGTGTGCAGTTGAGTACCTTTGGATACTAAAGGGGAGCATCAGATCACCTGTGGAGTTATAGGTAGTTGCGAGCCACCCTATGTGAGTGCTGGAAACCAAATTCCAATCTCTGCAAGAGCTCTTAACCCATAAGCCACCCTCTATCCCCCAGGTCAGATCTCCTTCTGTTTGCTTCCAACTTGAACATTTTCTAACCAATTCATGTGCTTCACAAGAAGACTCAATGATTTGTTGGAACAGGATAGAGTTACACATTTTGGTTGCTCTAACTACAATTTACTGATATGTGCAGATGTCATGGCTATCCTCCCTTCCAAGGCTCCCATCACCACCTCTCCCCCATCAAAGGCTGACTCACATTATCCATCATAATTAGAGTCAGATTTTCAGCCAGCCTAACCCATCATTCAGAAATAACCGAGGAGCGTTCCAAACATTCTCTACAGTATTTTGTGGTGTCCAGGAGTCAGGCTTGAAGAACACACCTCCTGGGTGAGCGCTGAAGTTCCTTCTTGCTCGCAGATGGGGACCCCTTCCTAAAACCCTCCGGCCAGATGACCCTCTGCCCTGCTGGAAACAGAGTCCTGACCAATGCCCCTCCACCTGGCTTGATTCTCTGTCTCCACAAGGACAATGCTGTTTTTATTTCAACTCCTCTGAATTCT